CTATATACCAGGCATCCATAGTCAAGCTTTAAGATGGTAGAGATTAGAGAATAGGAACTGCAACCTCCTATCCTGCTCAGTGTTTCTCTTGAGTGAAAATTCTACCTCCATCATCTCTCCCTCTTAAGCTCTATTGTCTCCTATATGACTGTCATGGTTGGCTTTGGTTGTCAGCTTCACACACTTCTTGGGGAACTTTCTCTACCAGATTGGCCTGTGGGTATGTCTGGGAGGCATTTTCTTGATGGTTGAGTGATGTGGAGAACCCAGCTCACTGTGGGTGGCGCCACGCCAGAGCAGGTGGCCCTAGGTTGTGTAAGAAAGGAGGCCGACACAGGCCAGAGGAAGCCAGTGAGCAGCAGCTTCCCTGTCTGTGCCTCAGCTCCTGCCTCTAGATTCCCGCCCTGCTTGTTTTTCCTTTGGCTTCCCTCAGTGATGGGCTGTCATTTGGAAGAGTAATATGAATAAACCTTTTCCCCTTCAGATTGGTTTTGGTCAGTGTTTTATTATAGTAATGGAAAACAAACTAGAATGCTGACCCATCCTTGGCCACGCTATGCCACCTTTCTCCACTTCACTTCCCACATGGTTCACTCAGTATGCACACAGCCGTGACCAATGCCCTTCTACAACAGGAATCTGATCTTTCTATTCTCTGTAAAATAAATGCAAGCCCAGGGTCAAAATGGCACACTAAAGAGGGAAACAAAGAGTAGGAGGTGTTCCTTCATAGTCTTGGAGGCACTTGAGAAAGTACGTTACCTTGATCAAGATAAGGTAAACTTAAAGCAATCATCTTCTTAAATATTTAATGATCTTGAACTGAATTCTTTGACTTGTAAGACAAGAATCAGCTGAGTAACTAATGGACGGAGATACCTGAGCTCTATCCTGGGAAAAGCTCTTTGCCTCCAGGGCAAGGACCAAGCAGCAAGCCATAATGCTGTTGTAATGAAATGCTTCTTTTAATTAAAATAAATAAATAAATAAATAAATTTAAAAAAAGCCATTTCTTACTTTGGCCTTCAACATCTTTATTTCCTAGCAAATTGTACTAAACAAATATCAAAGTGATATACTTTCTTAAACCTATCCTTCTGTTTTATGTTTTGTGATTTCCTACCTTCCCTTTTCTCTGTGGGGATTTCCTATCTATCTATCTATCTATCTATCTATCTATCTATCTATCTATCTGTCTGTCTGTCTGTCTGTCTGTCTGTCTATCTATCATCTATCATCATCATCCATTCCTCCATCTATCCATCTGTCTATCCATCATCTATTGTCATCTATCTATTAATCATCTATCTATCATCTATCTAACATCTGTCATCATCTATCTTCTTTTGTCTATCATCTATCTATATCATCTATCATCTATGTATCATCTATCAACTATCAATAAATCCTATCATCTATCTATCTATCTATCTATCTATCATCTATCATCATCATCTCTGACAAATGAATTCTTCAAAATTTAGTGTGTCAGCTACTCATTTCTTCAAATTTTTTTTTTGGTCTTTTTGAGACAGGATCTCCTTATAGCCCCAGCTGTCCTGGAACTCATTATGTAGAACAGGCTGGCCTTGAACTCAGAGAGATCCACCTGCCTCTGCCTTCTAAATGCTAGGATTAAAGGCGTGTGGCACCATGCCCAGCCAATTTTTTATTGTTATTATTTTTTTTTACTTTATGTCATCATTAACCTTTGCACATGCTCTGAATGTACTTAATGTCTTACACATCTAGGCCTTTTATTATTATTATTTTTTTTACCTTGGCATTTTCTTTCAGAGCTCCCTGCACAAAATAGTTGCCAAATGTATGTGCATCTGAATGGAGATCTGTGAGGGAACCGGCATTCCCCCCCCATCTTCCTTTCATTTTGGAGGGGAACGGCTGGGGCTGCCCACAGCTGATTAGCATTTGTCTTTTCATTATTTTGTGTTCGATAACTTGTGTCAAGAGAAGATCAAGGAAAGTGGTTTGCATCTGGACTCCAGACTTTGTAAGCCTTGTATTTCTTATTGCAAGAGAAGGTCTGAAGAGGAGCATTGCTACTGGACTAAAAACAAAACCCTTCCCCCAATATAACTCACTTTGTTTACATGCTTTGTAGTATTAATGTTTGAAAATACATATTGATATAAGATATCAAATTCTACAGGCCAAAAACTGTTAGAACGAATATTCCAAAAAATGGCCCATTAATTTCCTTTTCCCCCTAACTTTACAGTTTGAGAATATATCAGATCTTGTTTTAATTTGTTAAAATATTTTAACAAATAAATGGTATTTTAACAAACGGTATTTTAACAAATACCTTATGGTATTCAGGCTTGCAGTTTATCACTCTGTCCAGCTTGTCCCACAAATGGAATAAACTATCATCTCCATTTCGCTACTACCTGATAGCATCGAGGAATGTAAGCCATAAAATTTCACTTGTCAAGAAATATTAATGGAGAAGGGGTGGCTGTTTCTTTTTCAGTGCACAAGACCTTTAGCTGTAATAATAAAATGCTGTCTTTTATTTCCTAAAAGAAGAGAACTTGAAGGAAATGAAAGCAAAATCCAACCAGATTACAAAATTAGGGCAGAGTTAAAAAATATTTTGAATACCAGAAGACATCTAAAATAAATAAAAAACAGCATATTCGAGATACTGCTATTTGACCCAGACATTGGCTAAGAAGTTGTATAACTGGAGACTCCTTGAAGAATCTAGCAATTCACCCTTTGAAGGAAAGCAGGAAAAATACTTGTCCCTGGATACCCATGTATATTCAACCAGCTAGCCGGGCTGGATAAAGAGTAGCTGATGCCTGGTGGTTCAGACACGACACTACACAAATCCTTGTCAGCTGTGACAGTGGTGAGATGAGCAACGAGAGGAATTTAATTCTTGACAAGACTGGTCTGTGCTTAAAGAGAAATGAGAAACTACCATACCTTCCTACTAATATCCACAGGAAAAAGGAAAGCTATCTGGCAAGCTGATTAATAAGTAACCTCCCCATGCTCAATAGCTGTTGTAAGCCTGGCATGAAAATCACAGAGAGTTAGCACACATTTTAGATCCACCTGGTGGATTTCACACCATCTCTCCTGGAAGCTCTGAGTCATATACTGAATGTTAATATAACAACATAAGACAGTACAACCTTAAAAGCCCCACAGTCCTTAAAAAAAATCCAAATATCTAAAAGTCCATTGTATCTTTTAAAAGTCTCTTAACTGTGGGTGGGCTTCTGTAAAATCCAAAACCAGTACTGTCTTATTTCAAAGGGAAGAATCGGGCACACCTAAGCAAAACCAAAGTCCAGCAAAGTAGCTCAAGGCTGGACATCTGGGATTCACTCACGATCTTCTGGCCTCCAAAGGGTTTTGGCAGCTCCACTTCTCTGATTCTGCAGTCCACAGCACAAACAGCTCATCTCACAGACCCAGGCCAGCTCCATTCCACACCTACTGTGGTCCTTGATGGTTGTCCCACGGTCCTGACAGCCCCCAGAAGCTGGGGTCTCCACTGAAACTGAGGCTACACCTTCACCAATGACCTCTTCTTGCCTCTCTGGATTCAAAGCCTCATATTTTCTCCATGATCCCTTCAATCCTGGGGTCTTTGCTGCAACTGAGCTGCACTTTCACCTATGGCCTTTCCTGGCCTCTCATGGTGCCAAGCCTCAGCTGCTCTCTGTGACCCCTTCATGCTTTCAACACCAGAACCATGCAGGAGCCTCTTACACATTACCAAGTCCTGCTTCCAGCTTGAGACAGAGGATCGGGTCCTCTCTGTGTGCTGACCCTGAGGAAATAACCTCCCAGAAGATTTCACCTCAGTGATGCTGGTCTCTTGTTACAGCTGATTTTTCAGCCCCAGCTAACCAGCATCAATTGTCCCAATAAAGCAAAGGTTTTGCTTCAGGTTCTGGTCTCTTCTTAATCACAGCTGATTCTTCAGCCACAGCTGATTCTTCAGCCGCAGCTGATCAGAACCCACAGATTCTCAATCCAAAATCTCACACAAACAGCCCTGATAGTCTCTGCTTCCCTTTGAAGCTTCACAAGCCAGGCCTCCATCATCCACAACTCTTTCAACATAACTGTTCCAAGCTTCACAGCAACAAACTCTGAGCACTCAATGGCTTTTCTAGCCCAAAGGTCAGAATGCTTCCACAATCCTCCTAAAAATACCAAGGTCAGGTCTGTCACAGTAATATCCCACTCTCTGGTACCAAATTCTGTTCTGGCTTGTTTCTCCATTGCTGTGACAAAACACTCTGACCAAGACCAACTTGGGGAGGAAAGGGTTTATTTAGCTTATATATCCTTGGTCACAGTTCATCCAGGAGCCCAAGGTAGGAAGTCAGGGCAAGAACCTGGAGGCAGGAGCTGGAGCACAGGCCGTGGAGGAATGATGCTTACTGGCTTGCTCCCCTGGCCCCTGCTCAGCCTGCTTTCTTAAGCAACACAGGCCCACCTGCCCAGGGGTGGCACCACCCATGGTGGACTTGGCCCTCTCACATCACTCAACAATCAAGAAGGTGTCCCATGGACATGGCCACAGGCCAGTCCAATGAAGGCAATTCCCCAATTGAGGCTCCCTCAACCCAGGTGTGTCAAGTTGACACTAAAGCTATCCAGCACGCCTTCAGATGAGAAAGGCACAAGTCTGCTGTACTTTTTCCTTTTTCTGCTTAAGAACTACTTTGCTCTCCTTTTCAGTTTTACCCAAATGCTCTATGAAACATTCCATATAAATTACCATACTATTTTAATTAAGATACAAGGGTTTGAATTTGCTGCTGAGAAAATCCTTACAAAGTGAGAAAGAGGTGGGAATATTCATTACACTGATTTTCATCATTACAGAATATATACAAATATCAAATTATTAAAATGTAACCTGTAAATGCATTAAATTAGAATAGTATTTCCCAAACCATCCTTACTACAAGAATTTCAGTATACATCAAAGACCATGGTGATGTTACCTGGCAAAAACAATTCTCCCTGGAATCTTGCTCTGGCCTGTTGGGAGAAGCATCTTTTCTTCAGCCAATTAGCTTCAAATTCACTGTAATGCTCACTGGGCCATGTGATATAAACCTTATAACACAGAAAGCAAATATCACCTATTTGTATATCATGTAGCTCTGTACTTCTGTTCTCTGATAGTGCTTTCTTGCGAATGCTATTTAAGGTGAATAGGGAATCCAGTTAAACTTACTTTTTCTCCTCCAAGCAAAGGGTCTAATCAGATGTCTAAGACTGATAAAACAACATGTAAGAAATAAAATTTCCTGACTGACATTTTTACTCCACACACGCTAAACCTGTGATCCTCAGGCTTCCTTTGAGAAAATACTACTGTAGAGAATTGGGGATAGAGTCCTCAAGTTGAGATGAGGACAGAAGACTCAGGAAGGGATAGACTCATTTGCCTTTAATAATCCTCCAAATTTGGAAGAGAGAAACATGGAACAGTGCTACAGCTGGTTGACTTTGAGAGCTACACTCTTAGGACATGCCTTCTTGTATATCTACTCACTAGTTTGTTTAAAAATAACCTCACAATACTATTTCTTAGTGGTCACTATATGCCAGGCACTATGACCAAACTTTCATCCAGATTATCTCATTGGATTCTGACATGTCTATGAACAAATTTTGTAACTTCCTTGTTTTATAGATGAGTAAACTGAGTCCCAGATGCAATATTTTTATTAGAAAAAATATTATTGTATCTTTAAGGCTGCTACTCACTGAAAGAACAAAGGGCAAATTTGCATATTTTATTAAAATGGTGACAGTAATAATAACAGCAGATGCTTCCATTTAAGGAGCACACTTAATCTGCACCAAGTACTGTACAAATATACCCATATAGATGTTTTGTTCTGTATATGACCAAATGAAAAAACTTTAAAATATTATTGTAGACTAGCCCCTTTATTGAACTTGGAAGAGAAAGGAGAGATCATTTAGAGGTAATTACCTTTTTTCGGTCAAACAATAACTCTTTAATACTAATGTTCACATCAAGAGCTTCCAGGAGAAGCTTTCGAGCTTTTGCAGAATCCAGGTAGCAGTCAGAACACTGGCAGTTGTCTCTCAGCCACACCGCCGGGTAGAAGGACTCTGTCCCATCCTGCCAGAGGATCTGCAGCAAATGAGCCCCATCCACCGGTTCTGCCTTTAGGATAGCACAGTGCATGTTTCTTGTCTTTGAGAATAAATTCTGTCAGCTACCTGCTGTGACAAATCAGTGTTAAAAGCAGTAGGTAGGCAGACCGTACCTGAACCTGACCTCTACAATAGTTCAGTGGACTCTGGCTTCTGCTTTTCACTCAACCTGAGTCTGTGGTTTGACTGATCAATGCTGGGACCTTTGTTCTGATTAGTGTATTTAACATGCTGTAAACAGAAACACAGTGACTAATAGTAAGATAAAATAATACCACATCCAAATCCAGATGAAAAAAGTTCCTTGTTTTTCTTTCAGCAATTGTAGATGATAAAGTCAGAACCAATGACATATACATGTTTATAACCATGTTTGCATAAAATCTGTGGAAATAAAATTGTGACACAGGTGGAAAATGTAATGCTTGTCTTTCTGTTATTTTTTTTTTTCAATGCCTGAGAGTGAACCCAGTGCCTTACACGGGGTAGGCAAGTGTTCTTCTACTGAGCATCAGTTTATTCTGAAATTTTAAGGAGTAATCTTATTTTCTTCAGTTTAAATGGGAATGCATGGTTTTATTAAGAAATTTGTAGCCATTCAGTAATTACAGGCAAAAAAAAAAGAAACCTAGTGAAAGAAAAGCATCGTGGTAACTGGATTGAGCAACTCAATGTCGATCCTGATTTAATTAGTGATTATATATATGAGCTTTGGAAACAATGCCAATGTTCATGCATTTTTCTAGGATTCTCAACATAGATAGAAGGAGAAGAAATTATACAGAAAATAAGATTTACATAAAAGAAGTAGAGTTGTGAAGTTCTTTCATAGGAAAATCAGTTCACCATTAAGAGAAGGTGGCATGAGACAGCAAAAGAGGGAACTGCATTGCCTTGTGATGAAGGGAGGAAGACAGACACACACAGGCAGACACCAGCGGCTTACAAAATTCCTTCAATGTATCAGTCACTGTAATAGAACTATGGGCTTAACAAGCAAGATAAAAATAGCTTCATGATTTTCTAGAAATTATAGGAAAACTTCACACAATATGAAATGACTTAAAAATTCTTTACACAGTATTAAAATATAAACAATATTTAGGTGACTTTTATATATCATTTCACAAATCAAATAGCTTTTTGTTTCTACCAGATTATAGAGTACTGTCAAGACAAGTTTGCTTTTTCTATTTACATCAAACTCCACTAGAATTACCTAATCACTAAACTGGAGAGATACAATTCACTATGTGCATTATTGCTTAGGCATTCCCACCTAGAGTTTTCTTTAAAAATCACTAAAGGGGGCTAGAGAGATGGCTCAGTGGTTAAGAGCACTGACTGCTCTTACAGAGGACCCGGGTTCAATTCCCAGCACCTACATGGCAGCTACTAACTGTCCTTAACTCCAGTTTCAGGGGAATCCGAAGCCCTCTTCTGATCTCCACAGCATTGCATGACACAGGTGCACTCACATACATGTAGGGAATACACTTACACACATAAAATAAAAATAAAGTATTTTTAAAAACATCATTAAAGTTATAATTTAGTTTAAACTTTGATATTTAGCTTATGACTTTGAATAGAGTGGTAGGCAAGTCTTAGCAGGTTCTCCATGGAACAGATAGCTCGTTTAGTGTTCTTGATAGCAGATGTTACAGGCTGGTAGATTTCCTCACATGCACAGTTTCAAAGAGCAGTGGTGGCTCCTGTCAGCAGTGAGGAGCATTTGTGATAACACGGACAAATATAAAAGGTACTGTGCAAAAGGACATTAGTTAAGCATAGAGAACTAAGCACTATATGACATTATTATGTATGGACTCTAAGAAGTTGAATTCATAGTATCTGAAAGTGGAATGGAGCCTGGGAGATAGGAAAATAAGGAGATATTGGTCATAAGTACAAAATTATAGCTACATAGGATGAGCAAATTCTGGAGATTAATATAGCATAGTGACTATGGTTAACACTGCATTAGATGTTGGAGATGTCATGAGAGAGACTTTAGATGTTAGCACACATACACTCAGACTCTCTCTCACTCACTCAAACACACACACAATGTTAACTATGTTAAGTAGACAATTATTAGTTTGTGGAAAGTATTTCACAATCTTTGCACACATGAAATATTAAACTTAGTGCTACAAAATGTAAATATTTGTTAATTGTATTTTAATGACACCAAGAAAAATTTAAAAAAGAATATGTTTTAATTACATTGACAGCAAGGATAAAATAGTAGTAGAAATAGCAATAATCATGAGTGGAATTGCTGCTATAGTTCAGTAAATATTGTGTTTAGTGAATGCTTTGTCACTCAGTGCTCTAAGCTTCATATACAGTAATTCATTGCCTCTTTTAGACAGTCTGATACTATTACTGCAATAAGCTGTAGAAAGGATAGATAATATCCTATCAGGCACATCCAACCTGTATGCATCCCAGGATAACTATGAACTCAGCTGGACAATGTCATGTCACAATATCAAAAGTTTGGTCATACCTGGATGAGAGCATAATTCATTTTAAAAATGGATTGTTTCTTTTATTTTTATCTTTTGACTTCCATGTGTGTTGGCATGTGTTCCAAACTCAGCTTATGTTCCATTAGATCTTCATTAACATGTTTAAATGTCTTTAAGATTTAGTTTTTACTTTGCTTAGGTGTGTATGTGCATGTATGTGTGTGCAAGTGCCCATCGAGGCCATGAGGGGGCATCAGATCCCTTGGAGCTGGAGTTACAGGTGTTTTGGAGCCACCTGCTGTTGGTACTGAGGTACCCACTTTGGCCCTTTGAGCTGTAAGCCCTCTTAACTCCTGAGCTATCTCTCTAGCCTCTGTTTAAAATAATTTATTGAAAGTATTGTTGCTCCACTTGAAACTTTGTTACTTAATGGATACACATTGTGAGATACATTTTTCCATTGTTTTGAACATGGATCCTGTGCCTAAAGATGGCACTGTTTCCTTCTGTCAATTATATTTCTATAAAACTGAGGAAATTGACTGCTGAAGTAATCAGAACTGCAGACATCCACTCCATCACATTTCAGCCTGTTTTGAGATTTTTATCTCTTTAAATTCTTTTTCCTTCTCTTCTGCTTAAAGTATTTGAATTGAAGACGTAAAACTGCATTTTCAGTGATGAAGGGAAGTTTAGACTTGCCTCACAACCCTTCTGGTCAAATAGATACATAACCTGAGGAAAGTGTAGCAAGAGAATTGGAGACATCAGGACTGTGCAGAGTGGAGTCTGCCCTGGCACTGAGGGGAGTGGGCAAGAACAGCAAAGAGTTGGTTTTACTGAAGTCAGATGGTTTGGCTGTCTAGGTAGGAACTTGGTCAGCAGCCCTACTCCTCACAGTCCCTTTCTTAGCTTTATGAAACAAGAATGTAATACAAACAGACCCGCAGGGAAACAGGAAAATCATTCCTACCTTTTCTTGGTTTACTGAAAGATTTTCCTGGGATAAATATGAAAAATTTTAAAGCAAAATATTCAAGATCATAAATATTTAGAAGAAAATTCTTTCTGAAACTTTGAAGGCTTGTGTACAATTATGAATTGTTGAAATCTGTTTTTCACTCACCCAATTTACAAATGAGCCTAGTAGAAACCCAGGGAATTTCATTTGTAGATAAGCTCTTGTGCTTCTCCAAAGCAAAGAAAAACAGTAGGCACTCCACTTATAAAATGAAAATATTTATGTTATGCTTATTATTTTTTGTAGACTTATTACTTAATTTATGAAACATTATATTGGGTGTGGTGGAAAGGAGTAGTTCTGCCTGTTTTGTAAAACAGCTCTTGAAGTTGGCCGCCTCTTATCTGATGGGATACTTTTCTTTTTATTTCACTGTATTATTTTGTGTCTGTTTTCTTATCATCCAGCAAAGTTTCTCTCTTCAGTTAGGAATTCTGTTTGGCACAACTAAATGGTTTTTGAGATGATCCTACTTCAAGGATAGTATGGGTTTTGTCTTTTTTCTTTTTTTCTTCTTCTTTTTTTTTTACTTAATTTTATATGCTGAAATTTGTCACTAATTTCTCCTGCTCTTTGGAAAGTCAAGAAGATAGCTCTGAAACTTTAGTGTACTGGTTTTGGAAATAAAAACAAGTGTAAAGTGGAACTCCTAGAGACACAAGCAACCTGTAATATCTGTCTTCAGTGCCCTTGTTACCGGCTGGCAGGGAAAATGAAAGCTCAGGGACTTTGGGTGTGATTTTTATCCACACCCACTTTGCTGGCTTGTAGTAGAGGTTGTCCCAAACCTATGTTCATTAGACTAGTGTACACATGTAAAGTGAAAAATGTTTGTTCTAATAAAAGAGAACACAGAAATGTTAACTATAATTAGTTAGGTTTTTTGTTTTGTTTTGTTTTGTTTTTGAGATAGGGTCTCTTTGTAGCCCCAGCTGGCCTGGAACTTGCTATGTAGACCAGGCTGGCCTGAATTTCAGAGATCTATCTGCCTGTGCCTCTCAAGTGCAGGGTAAAAGGTGTTCACCACCACATGCAGCCTAATTAATTTGAACAATAGTCTTTGGAGGGGACTGACAGGATGCTGCAGGAGTGTCAGAGTTATTATGTGTAAAATTAGGACTGCAGATTAATAACCAAACTAGAGAAGGATAATCTACCTTAGATTATTAATTCCAGAGAATATTTTAACAGCAGAAGACAAAATCATGGACCCATCAATTGATAGTGTTTGTGAATTTCCATATTTTCTTCCTCAAGGTAAGTTTTCAGACATGCTGACATGTAGTAAGATCCAACAATGCCTTTATCTTCTGCCTCTAGGATCAGAAAGTGATCAAAATGAAAGAAATGTGCAAATTATGGGCATGTGAGTTATGTACATTAAACTGTTTATTAAGCTATTATTGTACTAGTTTTTAATAGATACTTTCTATGCAACCACCTTATTTAATCCCCTCTGAGGAGAATAAAGAACTCTCTGAGATACTCTGTTCACCACCATTTTAGAGGAGACCTGGAGGTTGAGGGGGTGAAATTGAACTTGACTTAAAAACAGAAGAAATAGGAATTTCATCATACTATTATATCACGTAAGATTTATGGCTAAATAATTTTCCAGGCCTTAATTTCAATTTATCAAAATGGTATTATTAAAATACTAATTTAGTCTTGAGGTCTTTGGTTATTAGTTAACCTCAGTGCTTGACATTTACCTTTGGAGAAGAGGTATTCTAAGCATTACATCATAGAAGCTTCAAATTTAGTATTTTATATTTCAATGCTTGAATCATAAAAATTAATTTCCAATTGGAAAAGTAAAAGTTGATTAGATTGTGTTCTTGGAGGCTAAATGACATTAAAGTCTAATATTATTGAAATAATATCTACTCAAAGTCATGACACCTGTCACCTATGGACTTCTAGTTTAAAGGCTTTAAAGCTTTTAAAATTTATTTTTATTTTTAACTTGATTTAGTATGTGGCTGAGACATATGATCATTTATATATGCAAATAATTAATTTTATGGAACCATTAGAAAAAAATCAGCTCCTTCTTGAAGTTACTTGTTCTGCTGTTATCTTCTTTAAAATATCAGATTCATTCGAAATCTTTCTTCATATCTTGTAAAAAGGAAATGTAGACCCCACTGCAGTGGAATTACTATATTTCAGTAATAAATGAAAAATAACTGAAATTATCAAGCCTCTTGCTTACAGATACAATACAGACTACTAGAAAAGTTCTAAATTCCTTGAACTCTACCATATATTGCCTTTGAAAACTCTTGTTTTTTTTTTTATCAAACTAATTCAAATTACATACAGTATCTTTTTTTGAGCTTCATTAAAGGAAAAAAGTAAAAGTATGCAGCATGACCTTAGCCAGCAACTGCTACATTCAATTTTTTTGCGTTAAACAAAAGGCCAAGGATTAGACTATGGTCATCTTCCTTTGGACTGGGTTGTGGATTATTAAGAGAATGTTTAAAAAAAAAAACCCCACCTCTTTAGAACTTTCCTTCCATCATACTCAGTTTGGTAGACAATGCTGCCTCTGTCTCCTCTATAGACTTCCTGGATCAGTTTAGGGATTGCAATCAGACTAAGCCAAACATAATTGGAAAAGACGAGCTGCCAAGAAACGATCAGATCCACTACATTCCAAAATCAAGCTTATTTCAGATGCCTGATGGCTCATCTCACTGCAGCCCATGGTTGTGGGCGACATGTTCCTGGCGTTGTCTTTCTTACCCTGTCCACACAGCTTAATCCAGGGACCCTTCACGTAAGAGAAATTTGAGTTTAATCATTCCTGTTATCAGATATCCTCTGGGTACTAAACCACACAGACTTACCAAGCAAAGGGAACCTCAGCGTTGGTCCCAGATATCCTTTGGAGAGGAAACCTCCTCATGCCAAGCACATCCCGGGACTGACCTGCCCCTAGTTTCTAGTCTGCTGTTGTACTTTCTTCTGAAGTCTTCCTGCTCCTGGCTGCTCTTGCCTTGGCCCTGCCCCCAGACACAGATGAGGTTGGCAAATGAGGAGGATAGTTTAATGTGAATGTGTAGAAATTTCTGAAGGTTGTTTGGAAGTTTAACAACAACAACAACAAAGAAAAGTAAAGAGCTTTTATGGCCCATAGGGGAAAGAGTTAGCAAGAGAAAGTACTTAAACAGGGTTCCGAAAGCCGTAAACCCCCACAGCTGAAGGCAAAGCTTTGCTGTCAGTTCAGAATCTTTCCTTTGAGGAGAAAAAACATTTCTCACCTGTCTTGTTTCCTATCCCTGGGCCAGCTGCAGTAACAGGAACAACTGAACAAGCTTTTGCTTCTTTTCCACCTGTTCGTGGTGACAGCTCTTCTATTGCAAAACTCCCTTGGAGGAGAGGATATGCACTCAGCAGGGAGGAGCTGGCAGCTCTCACCTCAGCACAGGCGAGGCGTGGTGGTGTCTACTTGTTCACAGAATATTCCAACATAAGTGACTTTGGAGAGAACTTGATTAGTTGTACGGGGCTGGTGGGAAGGCTAGGATTGGCTTCCCTTAGCCCATATCCTCCTTTCTCTGCAGTTTTTGCTGGAGTAAACAGCAGTTGCTAGAGAGCCTGGGGCCCTTCTGAACACACTTGGTTGCCCAGCGATTTGACTCACAACACATACCCCTTAGGGCAGCAAAAGGGAAAACTCAGGATGGGCTAAGTGCCAGGGATACAGAGCTTGGCTGACAGGCTTTTTACTTGGGGGAGGGCCCAGTACACGGGAAGATTTGTGGGACAAATTCCAAGACCTGGTTCCTAACAAGGTTGCCATTATGCTAAAAGAGAGTCTTCCAATGGCAACTAAAACTCAGGAAAGTGATCAGAAGTCCTCTGCCCTCCTCCCACCAATACCACCCCTCCCACGACAGTATGGATGCCTTCCCGGCCTGCTACTTGTTGCTTCTTGCCCCAAGGACTCACTGCTGGGAGACTCAGAGAGAAACAAAAGACCTTATCAAAGAGAGAGATAGTGCTGTCCAACTTGCACATGGCCTCCTCTATGGTTTCTTCTCTACTGCAACCCTCTTTTCCATAACTTTAATGTCCCTATTCACTCTGTCAGCTGATTTCATAATAAAATATCTACTGTGTCCCTGCATCTGTAGTCACCTCCTCACCTGTCTTCCTTCCCCAAGTCTACAGGTCAAATAACTGACACCCAGTGTCCTGGAAAATAACATCAGGATTTATTTCCATGCACAGAAGGAGGGTGTGTATGTGGAATACAATCCTAAATAGTGTTAGCATTTAAAACCCACAGCAACAAAAGTTACAGACATGCCATAATCAGCTAATTATACCTTAATAATTCATGACATAATTGAAATAGATGTAAGTAATTTTCACTTCCTATCTTGTGCTTTGTTAACCATTTCTGAAATAAATTAGGTAAATTTGGTTTCAGTTTTAAGAAGGTTATTAAATAAAAAGAACTGTTTATCTGCTTAGTGTCTACTTTGAGAAATTTCTACTTAAGTCCTTTCCTCCTATTTTTAAATCAGGCTACTATTTTCTTACTATTGAGTTGAAGTCCATATATATTTTGGATAGTAGCATTTAATTAGGTGTGGTGTTTTAGTTTACCTTCTGTTTCCATGATAAATACTTTGACCAAAAGCAACTTGGGGAGGAACAGTTAATTCTGGTTTATACTTTCAGGTAACAGTCATCACTGAGGGACCTCACTCAAGGCAGGAAGTCAGGGTAGGAGCTGAAGCAGGGACCATGGAGGAATGCTGCTTACTGGCTCACTCTCTGGCCTGTGCTCAGCTAGCTTTTTTTAAAAAAATATATATATATTTTATTTTTATTTTATGTGTATGCGTGTATTACCTGCATGTAGGTAAGGGTACCCGTGTTGTGCAATGTCAGATGAGGACAGAAGAGACTGTCGGATCCCCTGGAACTGGAGTTAAGGTCAGGTGTTAGCTGCCACGTGGGTGCTGGGATTCGAATCTGGGTCTTCTGCAAGAACAGTGTTCTTATCTGAGCCATCTCTCTAGCCCCTCACCTAGCTTTTTTATATAGTCCAGGACCATTTGTCTAGGAATGGTATCACCTACAGTGGGTTGATCCCTCCTAAATCAATTATCAGTCAAGAAAATCTCTTACAGACATGGCCACAGGCCAATCAGAGAGAGACAATTCTTCAATTGCAATTCCCTCTCCCCAAGTAACTATAGGTAGTGTCTAGTTGGTAATAAAAGCTAACCAGGATGTATGGTTTGCAAATATTTTATCTCATTCCATCTCTCATCTCTTCACTCTTTTTGATTGTTTCTTTGGCTATGCAGAAGCTTCTTAGTTTGGTGAAATCCCATTTTTTTCTTGTTTTTGCTGCCTGTCTTGGGTATTATACCAATAAATTACTGTCAAGACAAATGTCATTGCAGCACTATTCACAACATCTAAGATAAAGAACCAGCCTAAATGTCCATCAACAGATGCATGGATAAAGAAAACACACAATAGGATACTATCAAAGGAGAGATCAACATGAATGAGTTGTAGAACTTTGTGTTAAAAGAAATAGGCCAGGGACACAAAGGCATTTACTGCACAATCTCACTTATATGTAGAGTCTGAAAAAGTCAAGGTCATAGAAGCCGAGAGAATAGAATGGCAGTTGAGGGATGGAGGTCACAGTAGGGGATTTTGTCACCAAAGCTACAGTTTAGGCATGTGGAGTAAGTGTAAGAGATCGCTTCCACAGGTGAATCTAGTTACTAAGGTGTTATTTGCTTAAAGATTACAAAGAGAGTAGATCTTAAATGTTCTTACAGCAAAAACTAAGTATGGGAGGTATTAGATACATTAACTTGTTTGATTTAACAATTTCACATTGTATACATACATCAAAGAAACACATTATACAATGTAGCCCTATATAATATGGATTTTAACCTATATCTTCACTAAAATAAATAAGTGAAGTTGAACTTCTAAAGATTAAAGAAGCATATTTTCTGAGGACATGGTCCTTTTTGTGTTAAACTTTAAACATCATCTTAATTTCATGTATACCTTTTAGTGTATTATCAGGAAACAGCAAATGATGTTAGTCCTGTGAATTTCAGATGGAAGGAACAAGAGGGCACAGTGGTCCTCAAACTACAGGAGGAGCAAATATATATAACTGCCATTGCCCTTAGAGCAGCATGGATGGCACTTTATTACACGTGCTTCTAATTCTCAGGTAGCTGGGAGAAATGCTTTGATTATGTATGGTGACAGGACTCTAAGCAAGGAGCCTGG